AAAAAAACCTAAACCATAATTCACCACTATAGACACTTTTTGACAAAAATGAAAAATTACGACTTTGTTACCCAATAAGAAGTGTTCTAATATAGACAATGGGTCGTGTCTCATATTATTTGTTTTATTTTTATTATTCATTATTTTCACTTGACTCGCATAAATAATTTTGTTCTAAGAACATTTATATGCAGTTGTACTTCACAGCACTTCACTTGCAATTTGCAATATCTAGTTTTAAATATGTTCTTTTGCTGCTCATTTATAAGTTTCTGGGTTGATAATGTCGTAGAAAAGCTATTCAGTTCTAAGGCATGGTATGTCAAAAATTTAGTATGTACTTGCTTGGACTAAGTGTTTACACAAATCAGAAGTGATGTTGGTAGTCTATGAGTGTGATACTTACCTGGATGAATGCCCTGCACCCCCACCATTTTCAATCTCCATTATCATGGCTTGATCTCCAAGGAATGAGGATGATGCTTGGGAATGGGTGCAGTCGGACAGTTCTATTTTGTCATAGGGTGTTGTAATTAAAGTACAGTAATCATGAAATAGAGTATTAAATTTTCTCTGATTGTATATATTTTTGTATTAGAATGTAAACAATCTGGTCTTGAATGAATTTGGCAGGGTCTCGAATTAAAAGAAGCCACTTCCGGCAGATTTGGTTAAATGAGCTTTCTTAACATACCGTAAAATCGAATACCGTAGTAGAAGCCCGATGGGCTTAATCCCGAGAATCAACTCGAATTGAAGCCCCCTTTCCTTAATTTGCAAAAGTAGCCTCGAAATTAAGCCCATAGATAGCATGGGCTTTTTTTCGAGATAGCACAGTACATTCACTGTAATTCATTCAAAGAAACAAAATAGATTTAAAACATGATTGATATATACAGTAGTATAGGTGATTTAATGCCAGTTAATACACTCCATGATACATATTGATATTACAGTGGCCCTATTTATTGTTGTATTTTAGTAATTCCTAAAATTTACAGCATTAATTTTGAAAAGAAGTTACCCCCACCTCCTCCCTTTACTTTGTAAAAGTAGCCTCGAAAAGAAGCTCAAAACCAAAGCTCGCAAGAAAAAAAAGAAGCCCAGGGCTTCAATTCGAGGTTTTATGGTATCTAATTATATTTTGCTGCATGTGGTGATACCGACCAGTAGACTACTGATAACATAGTAAAAACATGCAAAGATCATGGATTCGTGAAGGATATAGGTTTGTTTCCAGGAGATTTTCCCTTGCTCACTGGATTGCAGGAGGCCTTCCTGATTTGCGGGACACTCATGTAACCCGAAGACTTGGGAACCCTTGAAAAGGTTAATAATCAGTGTTCATTAGTGATCTAGAGAAGGAATTCAAATGATATGAGATATGAAAGCAGAACTTTAATGGTAGAAATTCATGGGTACTGATGCAAATTACCTTGGTAAAGTGCAATATGACGACAGAACATTAATGGTTTACCGTCCAAAAGTAGTAAAGTAAATCGCCTTGGAACTTTTTATGTGTAAAGTGAGATATGAAAACATTGATATCAAGAACAAATTAGTGTAGATGCAGATAAGTATTTTCTGTGCTTTCTTGGTTCAATTAATATTCCATTGATATTCGACCATGGATTCCAAGCATCAAAGAGCAAATTATCCTAGAAATAAAATTTCAAAATTAACCTTGTAATTTTCCCCAAATTTATTCCAACATTTCAAAGCCTTACATTACTTTTCAAGTTATTAAACAAATATTTTCTCCGAGATCGTTCATTACAATATTAAAGAATGTTATTATAATCGTATCTTACTAGTCATCGTTCACTTGGTGGCTGATTAGAATCTTAAATATTTCCTCTTGGGAGGGGCTGAAGATTGATGTTTGGTAAAATGCTTTCTGAGTGACATGTACACAAACATACAGTAATATGTGGTGTGACATCATTTTCAAAAATAATTATTATATCTATGTACAGTAATTATTAATGTCCACTGTATTTAGTGATCACTGTGTTTGATAGGGTGTCACATGATCAGCTTACATGCTGAATACTGTACGTATATCACCGTCTGTAAAGTATTTCAATAAATAATTATTTTTTTTGTATGTAGGCCTATGAGGTGAGGTGCCAGTTATTTACAATTCACATGAAAAAAGAAATTACACAGACAAGGCCAGGAATATGCGCATGTCCTACATACACACGTGTTGTCTCACAAGCACATGTACATTTAGAACGGATTCGCTTCACAGTTCCATGTTCTTTGCGCAACGTAGATCTGGTCATATTGCATTTACCTAGTCCCCACGCGACGAGAACTAAACGTTCTTGCATGCACAGATGACTATGTGTGACGCCATTGCGTTCTATGTCCTACCGTTGTCGTCCAATCAAAAGCTCCCTATTCGTTTGTGGGACCTTAGCGGAAATGTTATCTTGTGTGAATCTACTTAATAGGAAATCAGGCAATTGACTGTCACAATGGGGACTCATGCCTGCTCTGTTGATTTTGCACTATAATAATAATTTATTGGCTCTCTCTTTCAAAGCAGAGGAACACTCTCACGCAGGAGAGGTTCGACCATACAACAGAACAAAAGTTACAAGTAAAGATAAATTCATAAAAAAAGAGACAATAGTAATGAAAAATCCAAATCCAATTACAATAATATAATATTCTAAAGTTTAAAATCTTAACTAAAAGGGGAAAAAAAAAATAAATAAATAAAATTTAAAAAAAATAAATAAAAAAATTAAAAAAAATTAAAATATGTAATAATAAAATAAAGTAAATAAAAATAGATAAATAAATAAAAACAAGCACATAATATAATAAATGCAATGTGAAACTGATGTAAAAGCATACATATCAAAAACACAACAGAAGTATAGTCAATGTGATAGGTGGTTTCATGTTGAATATTACTAAATGACGTATAGTTAAGTTTATTCATCATTGGTATGCCATTTTATTGCCACCAAATAATAAACCTGTTACTTCTTGGTGGTATAAAAAAAAATATGTTGTTTAGAATAAAGTGGTTTTCAAAGTTAATGTGTGTTTATGTATTAAATTGGTATATTTAATGTTAAGCACATCAAAACTTCGCAACAATAATGATGATGTTAGACTTATATTATAAGTCTAACATCATCATCATTATTGTTATTGTTGTTGTCATCCTCATCACCACCATCATCATCATCATCACATAAAGAAATTATGTAACACATACAAAATGTAAATGCACAAATAATGTTATAAGTTATTGAATCATTTATTGCCCAAAACAAATTACTATACCATAGTGCTATATAGTCACCCAGATCGATAATGTAAACATTTATGTAATAATTAAGATTTTTACACACTAAAAAGCAGAAGCATAGCACAATGAATTTATGAAACCATATCAAGATTCAATGTTATTCCTCCTTTTGGAATGTTTAGAGAACAAAATTGCATGAAAGTAATAACCAAAAAATACAGCAGCAACATTAATATATATATTTTTTTATAATATTGTGCATACAGTAGGTGATCTATATTTATTGTCCTTATGGTTACACAATTTTGGGCCATACAAGCCATAAGAACTCCCTACATGGAGCCACCCAGGGATTTTATTCCACTGGGCTCGGACTGAGGCTCTAGTTGGCTGCTTGTGACTAACCTGTCAGACTTGCGGGAAGGGGTCCACTCGTTAGTCATAAGGTTCGCTATTTATAAGGGCCACTGTTCATAAGGTCCGCTAGTTATAAAAACAATTGTTTATAAGGTTCACTATTCATAATTTTTTTAAAGTCCACTATTCATAAAGCTCATTTTTTATAAGGTTCGCTAATTATAATTAAATAACATGTTCGCTAATCATAATGGGTTCATAT